ACCTCTCGCTTTATGTGCCATGTCCCCTCAGGATGCAGGTGATCATGGCTCTCCACAAATTCCTGCATTTTGTAACTCTTAATAAATGTTATCTTATCTTATTTCTCCTAAACTCTGTTCCACCATCCATTTATTCAAGCTGTGTTATGTGTTATTTTTCTCTATCCTTCTTGCCTTCAGTGTGTCCTGTGACTATCAGATTTTCCAAGCTCTCCTTCCTCATTATGTGCTGGAGAAATTTCAACTGCCTCTTCCTGGTGTTTCTTTTTGTTTCTATTATCTCTAAAACTTTGTCATTGCTCATGTGTTCAATCCATGATATCCTCAGTATCTTTCTGTAGAACCACATTTCTGTTGCTTCAAGTCTCATCTTTGAGGAAATTGTCCAGTATACACTTCCATATAGGAGGATATATCACATAACAGTTCAGTACTCTTTTCTTTGTTTCTAACAATGTTTTTTTTCTGTCTCTTAATACTCTGCTTAGCTTTTGGAATGCATCTTTAGCTATCCCAATGCACCTTCAGATTTCAGTGTTGCATTTTCCATCCTCTGTTCCCAAATATTTAAATTGTTGTACTTGTTTAATTTTGGTATCTCCCATTTGTAACTTGCATTTGGGGCTTATCATTTTGCTAACAAACATGTACTCTGTCTTCCTGCAGCTGATATTTAATCTTTTCTTCTAGCTTTCCTTCATTACGTTCTGTAGGAGTTTTTTTGTAGTTTTCTTTCCATATTTGCTATCAACACTGTCATCTGCATATTTTATGTTGTGGCCAGCAATAATGAAGCCTAGCAGGACTTCTAATTCTCTCTGAATCACCTCGCTGTATAGGTTGAATAAGTCCGGTGAGAATACACATCCTTGTCTTACACCCCTTTCTATTTTTTGTATATCTGCTGATTTCATTTTCTATCGTATACAGGCAGTTTGTTGCTAGTATAAATTCTTGATTATTCTAATATCCTTCCCAAATATGTCAAAGTTGCCGAGCAATTCCAACAGATATTTGTGGCATATTTTATCGAACACCTTCATGTAATCTATAAAACACAGGTACACATTCTTCTGCATCTATATTGCTTATTCGGATAAATATCAACAAACATCCTATTTTATTGGAAGAGCTTCTTGGTTAGGGTAAGAATTTTTCAGTACCTCTTCATATACATGTAAATACATCAACTGGTCTATAGCCGAAAGATAAACAAAAAGCATTCATTTTACACAACAAATATTAACAACCATAAGCTAATGCATTTTCAATATACTTGAGCCAATGCTTCTCCACTAATCACAAAGATTGTTTATTATAAAGCAAAAATTTCAGATCAAAATTCATTTAATGACTAAATGTCAAGTTTCAGACTTATTGATCTCCATTTGAATTATACTATATAGATACAGACTTACTGATCCCCTCTTGTATATGCTATATTTAAAAATTTGAGATAAAAATTAAGCTAACAACTGCCCTACACTTGTGTGAGGTTTACATCTTACTGAAAAATTTGCTGCCTAAACAAAAAGGGATTTCACACAAAAATTGGTTATTTGGTCAGATTTCGGTTAGTGAACCAGGCTGAGAAATTTTCAGCACTCCCCTGTGTGTGCATATATATATATATATATATATATATATTCCCCCATAAACTTATCACATCAAAAGGCTAGATAACTAAAGAAATAATTGCATTGTGAGATGAAATCTTTCTTATCTAGACACCTTTAGTCTGAATTCAAGCATATATTTTGGGGTAAGTATGATCAAACAGAATATTATCATCAAAGCATAAATTAACATATTATTCTTGGAAAGAATGAAACAATAAATAAAACTGAATAAGATCTACATAATATTAAAACTCTTATCTCATATGTATGTTTGTGTATGCGCATTCACAAGATACAGCTTAAATGATACATAAAACTCCAACCAATTTATGAGTATATTTTGTACCTTGAACCCCTGGCGTGTGCAGTTTCAAATTTCATTAAAATTTGACGAGGGGTTCTTGAGATAGAGCTGTTTTTCTGTTTTTACAGCATTTTTAATAGGAAATTCATTATTCGTTTTCAATACATAGTTTATATATATATATATATATATATATATAAACAAACATTGGAACATTGTATTCCAAATATTATATGTGAAAAATAATAAATATTCATAATACATTATAACAACATTATTAAATAAACTGAAATATACATAACACAACATATTTATACAATTCACAACACTACATTAGAACTTTTTTATAAACAAATATCTCAGGTATTTGTTAACTACTTGACAGGTGAAGAAGCAAAGTGGGTATGTCATTTTAAAACAATCTATATGCTTGGAAAATTGTGTCACAGGACTTGATAGTAAATAAATCGATGAACGCTGGTTTGCCACCATTACATATTTTGAAATAAGCATGAGGAAGAAACAAGTATGTATAATAAAAAAAATATAATTGCTATTTTGAAAAATCTACCAAGAAAAAAATGAAACTATGTGCATGAAAAGGAGGCATCCATACTTTATATTATTTCAATAAATATGACTCTTTAAGCAGATGATTGCTACTTGCTATTAGTGGAATCAATATAAGAATTATTAAAACTAATAAATTTATTTCAATGACATTAATAATTTTAATATGCTGAAAGTTTTGTCATTTTGTTTGTTTTTTACAGTTTATCAACTCTTTGCAGGTTATTTAAAGCCAGAAAATATTTTTAGATTTTTTTTCCGAAATAATGATGATTTTTTACTGATGCAAGTTCTACTTAATAACCCACAGCTGATGGGAGAAGAGGTGGATTCATCCCTTTTCCAAGAGTACCTGACTTAAATTAGAACTTGCTTTTCCGATTTCTGATTCAGAGCTATTATGCATTACACCATCTGCACATCCAAGTTTACAGCACCTGGTATTTCTTAGTGATCCCCCATCTAGGTAATCACCAAGCTCAACATTGCTAAACGTTGGTGATCATATTAGAACCAGTGTTTCAATGTGATATGGCTGTGAACCTCATTTTATTCTGTTGTTCTATGTATCAGGGACTGCATTTTTTTTCACAAATTCTGAAATTCTGATTTATTAATCTATTATTGCATTTGATCTAAGTAATATTGTATAATATGAGTAATAATTATTATTATAATAACTTGTATTGCAAATACTAATTAAAATATGTGTAAGTAATAATAAAATTGATAATACTGTTACCTTATCATTTTGTATCATAAATTGCTTTTAAAGAAAGCTAACGAGTATATGGGTGGTCTAGTTGTTTATAAAAATGTGTTGAGAAAATTTCTTTAATTATTAACTACATTTTGTATTGAATTATTTAATTTTATAGACATTTTGAATTATATATTTGGCTTGGCTAACAAAAACTTAATTTGCGTTGCAAAAAAATTTTACTTTTAAAAAGTTTCTTACAAATGCAAAAAATTTGGAAAGCTCTAGGATAAATTATATAGAGAATTGCTGAAAAGTTCTTGGCCTGTTCCCTATCCAAAAATTGATGAAATGACTAAATACCAGAATTTTGTTGTTGGAACCCCCTTCTTAGATGGGCTAAGAAGTTTTAAGTACCACCCAATTTATTTTACAACACCACCAAAATGATGATCATTATGGTGAAAATAATTGGTTTCACTAACCATCAGAATATTTATAATACCAAGTCAATCAGCAAAAAAAAAAAAAAAATAATAATAATTTTGTTACATCAACAAACCTGGTCAGTATCCTCCACATTGGAGCATGTATTTCTATGAATGTCTTTACCATATGCTAATTTTCAAAATACAAAATTATGCTAATTTATATCGCAAACTACAGTTTGGAGCCAAACTCATAAGTATCAATCCTGACTGATGATCAGCATTAAAAACATCTTCAAGTTAACAACTACTCTGCAAGCATAATATCAGCTTCCACACACAGAAGAGTTGGGGACAACAATAAAAAATATCATACAGTCTATCATACATAAGGGGTACAACTTAAAAGATTCAGAAAATCCACAGTACATTCAACATCAGAATGGTATTCCAAATCAGTCCAACACTGGAGATATCCTCCCCAAGCCAAGCCTCCATTGGAAGAGAACATGATCAAGAACTGCATATATTCATCCTATGTAGTTGTGGCAAAGAATACAAGGGCAAGACCAGCCAACATCCAAAAGTAATGGAAAAACATCAAAAGCTGTAGTCACAGGAAAAATCAAGTTTTGTCATTTTGATTGTTTTTTACAGTCTATCAACTCTTTGCAGGTTATTTAAAGCCAAAATATATTTTGGATTGTAAGAATAATACCTTTTTTGGCAATTGCATTAACAATTGCTTGGCTGATAATGATTGTTTCAGATACAAGTACAACTATTTAACTGATAGCTGGAGGGAGAAGAGATGGATTTAAACCTTTTCCAAAGGTATGTGTGTAAGTGAATGTAATAAATTCAAATGGAATTCAAACTCAGCTCTCATATTCCCCATTCTGAATCACTACTGCCAGGGATGAAATCAGCATATTTTAAGTTTCACTGATAGAGGATTTTAGCTTTGAGCACTGATGTCAATTTTGGACTTATGGAGTTTTTTTCACCAAAGACATGAACCCAGTCCTTCCTGCATGACAGTAATACTCTTGTCAATAGTAAACTACAGCAAAGCAGAAAAAGTGAGAACAAATACAATCTACTTTCTTCAAAGTTAATTACTCTGACAACATCAGTCATGATATCTCCTTCTGTGTGCCATGTCTTTTCAGGACATGGCTCTCTACAACTTCCTATCCTTTGTATTTATGTTTTTTAAATATTTTAATTTTAACATCAAGGCATATTCTTATAATCCAAAATAATAATTACTCCTCAAGGATTTGTCAAACCTTTTTCAGATGACACAGCCTTTTTCAATTAAATAGTCTAGAAATTTCAAGGTCTTAGTGGGAGAATAATGGATCCAAGGGACTTACTGGCGAGTGACTATGTCTTGATCTGTTGCCATCTCTTTTATTCTTTTTATGGTAATCCTTATCATCCCGACGTCTCTTTTTCCGTTCCAAGGCAGAATCACTTTGGGTGGAATCAGCTACCATCTTTGCAGCTGGCATGGTGGTATGGATTTGGGGAATGTAAAACCAGGAACAGAGTTGAAAAAAAAAAAGCATCAACAGTTAAGGAAAACTGAAAAACAAAAAAAAAAAATGTCACTGAAGATTTTTCTAATATAAAAAGAAAAACAAAAATTAGAAGTAAATTATTCCACAAAAACATGGTTTCACCAAATAAATGAGCCAGAATGATTGTTCTTTTGAGAAAAAGAAATCTACCTGGAACATCGTCATTCCAATAACACCTTTTATTAAATACTATCAGTAGAGCCCGGCATTGCCCGGTGATGTAACAGTAAGAGATAGATCAAGTACAGACCATCATAAAGACTGAAAAATAAAATTGACAAAGATTATTGTTTAAGGTTGATGGGCATGCATGTCTTAATTAGTTTTTTTTTTTACGAATTGGTCAAACCCAAACTCAAATAAAAACCTTGTTTTCAATCGTTATGAGTCTACCGATTGAATAGAATTTTATTATAAACAATTGTCTTGTAAATGGAATTTTTAAAGCATTCTGAATGTAAAAATAAGACAATAAGAAACACTACCTGCCAAAAAAAAAAAGTGAAGTTTTGTTGAAATCGGTTGAAAAATGTACGAAATCCGATCCCATATATAAACGAACACACACACACAAAAACCTGGGTTTTATAAGTATAACTCGATACGAGTTGTCCCCCTTTCATTCTCGTGATGCCTCTTAATCATGTTTTCAAATTGATTTCGTGCAAAAACAATTGTGTTTTTCCAATTTTTGGCACTGTCAGAACAAGGTAATTTTACGTAGTCCTGTGAAGTTTTGTTGAAATCGGTTGAAAAATGTAGGAAATCCGATCCAATATATAAACGAACAGACACACACACAACCTGGGTTTTATAATAAGTATGATTCTGGAAATTCTTTTTCTGACCATTAATTTAGGCTGAGAGCATTCTAGGAAAAATTGTCTCATTCAAATATTTCATAAAAGAGGTTGTTGAAATAAAGATGCCTAAGAAGGATTTTTCTATAAAATAGAATAATTAATCCATTCCGTCTATTTGAAACTAAAAAGTAACTGACTGTACTTCATTTAAAGACTAAATATTAAAAATTTTTCCTTGGTATCAAATAGGAGAAAAACTAAATATTCTGTAATGATGTAAATAAACATTGAAACATCAACAATTCAACTATTTTTTTTATTTATTTATCAAAAAATAATTATCTAATAAAATGCACTTCAGAATCATAATAGTGTAATATTTCATTTTTCACAAAGAGACAAAAATATTTAAATGCACAGTCTGAACCAAAAACCCAAGTCATCATCTGTTTTGTTTAAAGGAAATAGTTTATGCAGCTATTTCTGAGCAGTTACTGTGTTAAAAACAAAATATAACAGGTTACTACTGAGAGACCCTATCTAGAAGAACCTATTAAATAATTTTTGTGAGATATGAATGGGGTCCAATTCCCTACTACCTGGTCATCACAGTTACTATGTCATCAAATTCATGAATCAATGCTTTAATTCACTAGGTTACTCCTTTTGGACTCGGTAGAAATAGAGCAAACAATAATTGTGCAGTACTAAAATAAGAATTAGACAAGATGTCTGTAGACATGGTCAGTGGAACAAGAACAATCTACCCCTGTAGACTAAATAAAGGGTTCGGTTCAAAATTCACTAAAGGTTGCCCTGATCAAAAACAACCTGATAGGCCAGAGGGTCCAATGACTGAAACATTGTGATATTAACAACAAAGATGAGGGCAACAGTCCAGATATAAATAATAAATGTTTCCCATCCTAAAAATTCAGACAGAAATAATGAGAATATAGAGATGACATTTTTCCAGACTTAAAGGAAAATTGAGTTTTATCCAATTAGACATACGCTACAGGTGAAAAGTTTGTGGCCACCCTGAATCTCTTAAAAAAACACCTTAACATGAGATATTTTCCTATTCTTTTTTAAAAATTTCAATAACTACAGTGTGCAATGGATAAATTGTCTAAATTATGCAAAAATGAAAATAGCACTGACATCTCATTTTAAGAGATATATTAACCAAAATTACACAAAAATATCTTGAAATAGTAAAGAGTAAACTTATTCAATAAAATCAATATTGGTTTCAACCACAGCCTCCAAATGTCTTCAGAATCTCCTGCAACTCTTCTAAACAGTTGGTGAATACTGCCATATTCCTTGCCTTCTGTTCATCCTTGGTGTTACAAGGAGTTTTGTTGGTCTCTTACTCAACTGCACGCTACACATAATAATCAAGGGGGGTTTCAGTCTGGGGAGTTCAGTGGCCAGATATAAAGGGTGACAGGATTCTCCTGTTTGTGTGGCATGGTGCAGAGTCCTCTTTCATAGGGTCTTCCAGCAGCCACCCTCTTTACCAGGGCAACACTACCTCCTCAAGACACTTGACGTAGGACTCAGTGTTTGGTCTGAAGCACTCACCAACAAATTCAGGTGTTCTTTTCTTATCAGAATAATCAGAGTGAGATTTTCAAGCTGCCATACCTTCATAAACACCATTAAACACATCCAACTCTTTCTGAATCCTCTGAACCCGTTCTCAGATTGACACCCAGATACTTTGAAATGTTCGTATTGAAGCTTCTGGTGTGAATGCCAAGCAATACAGCATGCCATTTCCAAATTTCTGGCAAAGTGAATTGTGTCATGGTGCTCTTTTTCTCACAGAACTGACCCTGCTATGCTGTGCAGTTGACAAAATCAAAAACAAGCAACATGCATGCATGAAATTAAAAATATAAAATGGTGACAATTTACCTATCATACCCTATACAGTGTATTTGATTTGATTTTTAATTTTTTTCTCTCAGCTCCTCTTACTATCAAAAATTCAAATTTGGATTCATCTGCCCAAAATGCATTTTGCTAAATTATGAATATTTTGTACGAGAAAAAAATGTTTTGTTTTCAACATTAATTGGTCAATAGAGTTTTTGAAGAGGTCTGAAGATTTGATTCAGGACAAGGGAATCATGAAAAAAAGAACAATATTATTTGTTTTTGTAAAGACATGCTATACCATCTGGGTTATGCAAAATTGGAAAAAATTCACCTTTCAACAAGACAATAATCCAAAACATTTCTAAATCATGTCAAAATAACTTCAAGTCAAAAAACAAGGAACAACATTTTGGAAATTATAACTTGGCCACCTCACTCTCCTGACCTCTCTTCCATTGAATTAATCTGGGATGAATTGGATAGGAGAGTTTGAAGAGAATACCCAAAGAGTGGGCTTTTTTCTATGCTTGAAGAATGCTTGGGAAGGCCAACCATCTACTTTTTTTCAAAAACTGCTGGAAAGAATGGCAAAAATTTGTAAAGCAGTAATTAAGGCAGGTGGTGGTTTTATTGACAGAAACAAAATATGATACTGTTGTATATTTTTTTATAGGTCACTGCTTAGTTTTTGTCAAAATAAAAGCAAATACACTGCAGTTATTGAAATTTTCTTTTATTGTAAAATACAAAAATATCTCATTTTAAAGTAATTTTTAAAGAAATTTGGGTATCCCCAAAACTTTTTGCCTGTAGTGTATCTCAAAGTGATTTGTGTTTTTAAGTGTAATATTTTTAAAATCTGAAATATTTAATATATTGCTTGGATATTAATTTTAAAATCAAATTATGCATCTCTGAAAAATGCAGAAGTAGCTATAAAATTGATAACTATCAAGGATTTAACTAAGCAAGTCATAGTATACAGATTTTAGTGGAACCCTTTTTTTTTTTTATTTCAAACTTTAGCAAATGGAAACTTCAATCAACTTTGCTAGCCAAGATAATTCTGGGGATTTTCCTTTTCTTTAGTCTTCATAGATACAAATATTTCAAACAGTTGTCTTGGACAGATGCTCAAAAGCAAAACCTCAAGAACAGCAAAGGTCAAAGATAAAAGGAAATGTGTTTCTTTTAAAACAGAATTTTGTTTGCTGAAGTAAAAGTTTAACAGCTCTTGAAGTTACTTATATTTTATAAAGATGTTTGCTTTCTGGAAACATTTTGTATGCAAAACAGGAGAGTAAGAAAAAAAAAAAAGAATAAAAATTTAAAAAAAAAGAAAAAGATATTTTTATGAAGTTGCATACACTTAGGGAGAGACATTAGAAAGGCTACAATAATTATAATGAAGGCAGACAGACATAAAAAACATACAAATATCCATCTTTCTCTTTCTAGCCTACCCCATAAATGTGCGAATGTCACACACATAATATTATAGATATTTACAATTTTCCTTTCAAGGTCCATCCATTCATCCACACTGCCATTGTCTGTTGATTCATTCTGTATCTCTGTTTGGCTGCCATTCTGTTATTGTAGATATTTGTCAGGTCAGCTAAACATTCAGTCAGAAAAAAAAAGTTATTTTTTCTTTATTTCTTTCTGAACAAAGAAAATACAGAACACAATGAACCAAAAATGTTTAAATATACACGAGATGTTTGAAAAATCTGCAGAAACAACTTTAAAATATTAATGGTTTCTGTTCAAATAATTTTAATGGAAACTTTTTAGTGTAGGTAAAGAATTTTATTATTTTTCCCAATATTCACAAAAAAGAAAGATATCAATGTCTTTTTCTTTTATTTTTGAGAGAGAGATGTACCTCAATTTATTTATATTTTTTGGTGATTTTATTTCTTTTTTTTTTTTTTTTTGCTTCAAGTTTTAAAGAAAGTAAAGGAATAAAAGTTTATAACAAATGGGGAAAATATAACAATGAAAATGTCAGGGAAAAGGTTTTCTTTCTTTAGTTGTTTTTTTTTTTTTAATTTTAAATAGAAAACATTCTGAAAATTTGTTCTGGTTAAGATTTGAATAGCAGAAAGAAATGACAATCATTTTCTTTTTCTTTTTTTTTTTAATTCTATTTCTTTTTATCATTATCGATTTCTTTATTTTTCATTTCATTTCATTTAAAAAAAAAAAAAAAAAAAAAAAAGCAACTTTGCATTAATGTAGCTGAAGACAAAACATTTTCCTCAATAAAAAAAAAATAGAAATATCACCTTATGAGAGTTTCAGCCAG